ATATATGTGTGTGTGTGTGTGTGTGTGTGTGTGTGTGTGTGTGTGTGTGTGTGTGTGTGTGTGTGTGTGTGTTTCAACACAACTCAATTCTATTGAACTCGGATTTAAAAAGAAACAAAATATGTTTTTCTTGCAAATCACAACTTTTCAGTCTTGGGTCAGTATGTGTAGAATGCAGCAAATTTTTTGTTACATCTGCTTACATCATTTTAGAGCCTTTGTGAATTTTGAAACTAAACCAGTCATTTTACATGCATGAAAACATCTAAAGTAATTTAGAAAAAAAAATCTTGGTTTTCCTCTATATGAAAGCCATGTTGTCATGTTGCGTCTCAGACAAGTAAATGTGGTCACCACTCTGATTTTATGATTCTTTGGGTTTTTATTTTTTTATTTATTTTTGTAATTATTTCTTTATTTGTTAGTTTTCAATAGATAAGTTTCAGTGGATTTGCTCCAGTTCAAAAATAAAGTTAGTATTGTTTTTATTTCATTTGTTTGTTTAAACAGGGGATATGCATTAATCAATATCCCATGAATGTGCTGGAATTAGCACAACAGCTAAAAAAACTCAAATTTTAAGTAGAGAAATTACATTTTCTACAAAATGAATACAAAGTTCTCAGTGACTTTACTGGAATGCACTAGAGAAGCTGAAACAATGTTAAAAGCTAAGCTACATAGGCTATAAAAATGTAGCAAAATTCAACTAAAAGCTGAATGTAAAAGGTATAAAAAATAGTTGAAAATTAGCAAAAACTACAAAACACTATCTAAAAGCTAACAGTAGCAAAGCATTAGCCAAACGTATTAAAAGGTAAGCTGGAAGCTATGAAGCTTAGCTCAAAGTATTACTGAAAGTAACAAAAAGTTATAGCCTAAAACTATGATAGCTGAAGGTAGTTCAAGCCAAACAACAGCAAAACATTAGCGAAAAGCTAGTGGCAATCTGATTTCAAACATAGTTTCAAAGGATTTGAATAAATCTCAATATAATATATCAGTATTTATATTTGTTCATTAGATTTATTTTGAAATACTGTATATAAAAGTTACAAAAAAACAAAAGTCATAGAACTCCTCAATAAGACAAACATTTTTGAAATGTGAATAAATAAGATACATGCATGTGGAAGCAGTTAAAATAAAAAAAAAACAATAACATTCAAGAGACACAAAACACTCATTATTCACACAATTATCTTTTACATGCCCCATTGCCTTAAAACAGAAAGAGTCTGCTCAGCTCCCCCTCTCAGTGGTACCATCCTGTTGTGGTTCCATTTGGAGCAGATGTAGCYGTGTCAGGATGATGGTACCACTGAGGCACACACGAGGAGTTTCAGATTGAGAAGGAAGCGGGGTGCACGGCTGCACGCTGGGCCCCTCCTGTGTCTCTGTCAGTCACCCACAAAGCTCTGCCTCTGACAAACTCTCAGACCGCTGCACATTTTCTCCTTCACACAGGAAGTAGACACACACAGACTCGGGCTCTAATGCATCATAATTTTCCTACAGAGATTGAATTTCATCCTCCAACCGACTCAGAGCACATTCTAATCAATACTTTCCCCTTTACATTTGCCTAACACACACACACACACGCACACACACATACACACACACAGACACACACACACGCACACACACATTTGCAGGGTCAATCAGCTTCCCTCTGATGAAGGCAGCAGGCTGCTGCAGGAGAGTCCATCCCTGTAATGTTTGGCTCTTGTTTGCTGTGGATCTTAAACAGAACTGCTGCTGTTATACAGCCGACTGATTGTGCAGAAAACTCATTCTGGGTCTTTGGAAACTGTGTGAGGATCTGATGCAACTGACRGTAATTTGAGTCTGAATTTAGCATGAGGAAAACTTTAACTTTTAATTCCCTGGACATTCAGTAGGAAGTAATATGAGACTGAAAACAATGAACTATTCTTGTTTTGTTTTGTTTTTTCTTCCACCGGATACTAAAGAGCTACATAAAAGAAAGTTGTTTATTTGGACATCTTTACCATTATTTATTTACTTTATTACATTTAACACATTTATTACATTTTATTACATTTATTACATTATTTATTTACTTTATTTAGCCGTAGACTGGATTGCTAATCCAGTTTACAGCTTTTTGCAGCTGATTGTGAAGCGGYTGGGATGAGGATCAGYACCTCCAAATCTGRGTGGTCCTCTRTCGGAAAAGGGTGRATTGCTCTCTCTGGGTTGGGGGTGAAGTTCTGCCTCAAGGAGGAGTTCAAGTATCTTGGGGTCTTGTTCACGAGTGAGGGAAGAATGGAGTTTGAGGTTGATGGACGGATCAGTGCAGCTTCTGCAGTTTTGCGGACTCTGTACTGGTCTGTTGTGTACTGAGCTGTAAGGAAAGCTCTCTGTTTACCGATCAGTCTGCATTCCTACCCTCATCTATGGTTACAAACTTTGGGTGATGATCGAAAGAACAAGATCGTGGATACAAGTGGTCGAAATGAGTTTTCTCCACAGGGTAGCTGGACTCTCCCTTAGGGATAGGGTGAGATGTTCAGTCATCCAGGAGGGACTCAGAGTAGAGCTGCTCCTCCACATCGAGGGGAGCCAGTTGAGGTGGTTTAGGCATCTAGCAAGGATGCCTCCTGGACACCTCTCTAGGGAGGTGCTTCAGGCATGTCCAACTGGGAGGCGACCCCGAGGAAGACCCAGGACATGAGATACTATGTCTCTCAGCTGGTCTGGGAACCCCTTGGAGTCCTCCCAGAAGAGCTGGAAGAGGTGACTGGGAACGAAAGACCTGGGCTTCCCTGCTCAAACTGCTGCCCCCGAGACCCGATTTCAGATAAAGTGGAAGATGATGGATGGATGGATGGATGGATGGATG